CAGGGTAGCAGGAAGCTCTCCACACACTCACAGGACCTGGGCTAGGACTGGGTCTCTGTTTTTTCTAACTTAGTACATTTGTCTACTGTGGAAAAACACATCAGTCACATTGGTCTTACCGTTTTTACACTTTTCACTTGTTCTTGTCTAAAAACCCCTTTCTTAGGAGTCAACCATTTAGTTTTAAGTACAGTCTCCAAATCTGAAACAAAGTGAAAAGAAACTTAGGTTTATGGAGAATAGCAATGTAAAAGTGCAGAAATTAGCAAAGGTAGGATCAAAAGTTCAGAATTTTTGAGATGGTATTAGTGATGGTATTAAAAATTATGGCATTAAATTTTCAGAATTATTACATTCTCATAGTACATGTTTATATTCATTGGGGGAGCTGATTATATATTATCTTTTCATCTTCCACTATCACTTGATCCCCTTCTTATCTGAGAAAGAGCTCCCCATTTCCTATAATCTATCATTTACTTTATTCTTTATATGTATTTTTTGTTTTCACGAGAGAAATCATGAGATATTTAAGCTTGTGTTTCTGCTTGCTTACTTTCCTTTTCCTTTCCCCTTCCTTTTCCCTTCCCTTTCTCTCTCCTTCCTTCCTTCCTTCCTTCCTTCCTTCCTGTACTGGGGATTGAACATGGGACCTTGTGCTTGCCAAGCAGGTGCTTATACTGCTGAGCTACATCCCTGGCCCCATGTCTGATTTATTTTATTTAACGTCTCAAGGAGTGTCCTTTTACCTACAAATGATTCAAGTTTATCTTTCAGTATGGCAGAAAACCAAGATACTAGAAACACTGAGATTCACAAGGAATTATGAGGAATGAAAAGGACTTAAATTTTAAAACGTTATATATTCTACAAGCTAAAATATAAGATAATGAACAAGAAGTTAAAGAGGAAAGAAAAAAGATAACATGAAGAGCCTCAACCCACATGTTGCTGTTCATCTTTGTTAGAAAAAGCAAGCACTTTACAGTTTCAATATATAGTCCTCACAAGGGCTCATATATACCTAGAACTCACCTGGACAGGTGATGGTGAGATTTCCTCTTTCCTCTGTCATCGTTTTGTCTTCTTGCTCCAGCTGGGAGATCAGACTGGTTTTATCAACATGACACCCTATTTAAGGAGAAACTCTATGTGATGTAGAAAGACTAATCAGAGTACAAGCAATTCCATGAGACTGAAGCCACCCAACACTTCTGAAGATAGAAAGGTATGGCTTTAGGAATAATGGAATACTTTTGTCTAAAATCTAAGGAACATAGTAGTTCTTATGGATAACAAAATGTAAGCATCTTTAATTCAATATTCAGGATATGAGGGCATAAATATTCCTAAAAACCTACACTTAAGTTCGAATGCATACATCAGAGGCCCCAAAGCTTTTATCCATGGAATACATAATGTCTGGATAAGAAAGAAATACTTATTTAATATGGATGGCACCAGGTAGGCTGCTGCATGAGAATGGGATGGCACTGGTCTCATTTATAACTGTATCTGCAAACCCCTGCACAGACCTACACACATAGAAGTGCTTTGAGAGACTTGTGAAAAGTGCTGACAGTGAGTATGGAACTTTAAAACCCTATTTCCCTTCCAAACCAGGAAATAAACTTGCAAAGACAATCAGAAGCACCTTCAGTTATGCTCTGGAAACTTCTTAAAAGCTTACAGCACTGAGAAGCCATACAGTTATATGTAAAAGATGAGAAAGGCAATGATCCGGAGAATCTCCAGAAGATTTTTGAATCTAGCAGTTAACTGGAAAGATTCTCACCCTGACTAACTATATATACTGACACCTGTGAACTAAGCAAATGCACTGAAGTTGGCAATTTGTAATAGTAGGTAGGTTCATGCTTGGAGTACCTATCATTCTGGTCTTCTGAATATGGGCTGCTTGTGATGACGTGCCAGTTGCTGCTGTGCTGTCTCTTGGGTAGATGATTGTTCAAAAAGAAGGGAGTGGTGAATGAAAGCAAGAGACAGGAAGAGAAATGTTGTGGGACTGTCCTGCTTCAAGGTTGTATATGGTTAGATTTCTGGACTTATGTGTAAACATAAGAATTATATAATTCTTTATGCCTATTTTTAAAATATATTCTAATTTTTAAATGTTTTTTTCATCATATTCTGTAGGGACTTAAAGTTCAACATATCAATACTTGATGAAAAATACCTGTTCCATGTTATGCCAAAGATGTTTGATATTTAGACAGATAGTGAGGTTAAGCTTAACAGCCTAAGTTGTATGGTAATAACAATAAACTTCTCTTCTGGAGGTTAACAATCTAAGTTTGCAGACCAAAATTAGAGAAACAGGAGGGCTGCAGGGAAAGCCAACATTTTGGCCCCAGCCTTCCAAGGTCAATTAAGACTCAGGACATATGAGAGCTTGTACTGTAATGTCACACAACTCAGAAGTGTCCCAAATTTTCTGATCAAGGAGATTATGGGGTCAAAGAGGAAAGTGATCGATGATGTAGAGTGTGCCTAAGGAGAGTCACATGGAGAAAAAACATTCTCTCAGGCTTTCACAGAGAGCACATTGGCCAAGCAATGGCCGTGACTCATCCACATGGCTGACACTGACAAAGGTTCTACAATCTGAGGTCCAGGATCTCAGGATAAATCCTGAGGGGATTTCACTGACCTTATCAGACCCAAAAGCTACAACTCTTGTTGCATAGGTCTTGCTTTACCTTGGTCTTAACCATCCAGCAGAAAAGTATAAAAATGAAGTATAAGAAGTAAAGCCATGGTGTTATGTTGAGCTGTAGGGGACTCAGGCCAACAATTTCTGACATTGCCAGTCAAGTGGAAGATCCAATACTATTATGGACTACTGGACTCTTTTAGAATATTCTGGTGAGTTAACACACTATAATATTCAAATAATGGAACTAAACAAGAAAAGGGGATACAGATGAATGTCCATTTTGTATGTGTATTCAAAATGGTTAGGATAGATATATAGTTACATTCTCTTAATGAATAGAGGGATTTGTTGTAATAGTGTTTGTAAACAGGATATCATGTCCGCATATTGTACAGCAATTAACCACTAGGAAGAATGTATGCAATGTGTGAATTATTGAAACAGTCCTACCAATTTGGTTTGAAACTGTCTCATTGCTATTTGTTTCTCAATAAAATTATGGGGGAAAAAAAGCTTACAGCAAAAGAAAAATAGTTTATAGTAACTAGTAGCATGCCTAATCAAGTTTAGAGCAATCAACAGAATTGCTATAATCCTGGAAAAAAAAAAAGCTGAGTCTGGGTAGAGACCATTCTGATACTTAATTGGCTCAGGCCCATTTCCTTTCTTTTGCTTTGATCATGCTTTGAAGACTACAGCCAGCACTGTGAGTCTTCAAGGGAACAAAATTGAACTTGTTCTGTGGCTTTTTTGGACTGTCTTGGGGTTTCCTGAAGGACTGGTGCAGGGGACTTTCCTTTATTTGTCTAACCACAAACTCTGAGGACTGAGCTGCCTACCTAAGACATATGAGAGACACATTTAAGGGCCATTGGATTAGTTAGTACTGCCAGAGGCAAGAGAAAACAGTAGAAGCAAACAAAACTAATACTAAGCAAATGCGTGAGAGGAAAGTAAGGGGAAAAGCCGTAAAATTTCCCTAACGCTCCTAGCAATCTAGAATGTCATGAGTACCCAGGGCTGAGTACGTGCTTAGAGGGGAAGGAGAAGGCGCTAAGAGCCCACCTCCGGCTGACCTTCAGGGTCTGAAGGCAGGAAGTGAAGGCTGCAGCAAGGTGATAAACTGTCCAGCTTATTTCTGGTATTTACACGACTCATATATGGACCGGGCCTATTTGAATGGGTTTGGTTTTGGTTTTAAGCTTTTAATAGAAATTGCCAACAAAACACTAGATGATCAGAGAGGTAATGAAGAAGAGATTTCAGGGGCCACACATGAAAAATGCAGGCACTGTAAGGTTAGTTTTAAAGCATCACTGAAGACGCCTACAGTCAACATGGAACCATAATGAACTCTGAATATGGGGGAAAATCAGGTTCCAAAATTGTTGTACAGGTTGAGAAAGTGTAGTTCAACATCCAAAATCAGAAAGGCTCCATCCAGGTTGTCACATAACCAAGATAATGCCCAAAGTTACTTTTATGTAAGTACAATGTCTATTATTTGTCAATGTACAATAATTTAAGAGTTTTTCCTTGGTTAAAGATATCAACAGTTTAAAGTGTTAACTGTTATGATGAATCATTTAAAACAACTGTTAACTAAACAGGGACCCCTTGGATTTGGGGAACGGATGGACAAAACTCCTCTCTGGTGGAAAACAGCTGGCTGGGCCAAAATTTACCGTTTCTCCTCTGATGGGTAGTGTGTCCGGTTTTCCCATGGTCTTATGGTGTCACACCTCAACAGCTATTAAATAAATCGTTATAATATATTCAAATTGGTTATAAGCAAGAGATCATGCCATGTCTAAAGCAACAAGATTTTCTGATTAGGATCTTCTTGGCTAAAATTACAAAACTAGATTAAAAAGCAAAGGTTCTGTATTTTACTAAGATGGTTTATATCTTTCATTGTTAGACTTCTGGTTACTAAAAATTGTCATTAGAGTTAAAGATTACGTAAGTGTTGGCTTATGGAATGTTTTTAATAATCAGTTTATGACTGGTTAAATGAACAGCTATTATTAACTCAAACTATATATCTGGTACCATAGATACATAAGAAAAAAACCCAAGCTATTATGGACCTAAGCTTTAAAGTTACATTTGTGTAGACATAAGACTGTGTAAGTTTGGTACAGGCAAAGTAACAAAAAAGTGCTCTTTTATAAATA